GAAATTCGAATCACCTGAAGAAGGCCGGAGCGTAAAATGGACGAAACGTTGTGAATGTGGCAATGAAGATGAAGACAATAGTCCGAACAATGTAAATAATGTAAATAATTACAATACCTCATCTCAGAAATATAGACAGATATCGATAAAAATTGTCCCCAATCAGGCAAATGTTTGTTAGCCAGCTTTCATTAATTAATAATATTTAACTGCATCCTCCTGTCATTACAATGACGTAACATCACTTACAATGGCGCGTGTTGTAAAAAGGCTCGTGATCTATACAATGTATCAACTACATCGTCAAAATCAGCCAGTAACAACTGACCGTCACAAGTGAGTCAACGCAAGGTTACGAAGAGCAACTGTGTCTGTTTTTCACTGTTTATGTGTACATCGGGGATTTTATAAGTATGCCGGTGTTATTCGTTTTTAATGCAAGTAGCGATATTAAGTAAATCTATAGATACATTTATACACTCTATTGAGTGCAAGTGTAACATAGCAAGTTCTGGAAGTGGGCGTGACAATAATAAATAATAACGGATTGATAATGAAGGAAGTATGAACTGGAAGTCGACGAGAAATAGTACCGCCACAAGCCATAGAAGGTGATCGAACACGGCCAAAACAAGACCTTATGGGATTTCAAGATCCAAACAGAACACGCCCTGGAGTTCACCAAACCAGATAGAAAATTAATAAATAAAATGAATCCTCGTCGATGTGCCTGTTCGTGGTGAGCATAATATCAAGTCCAAAGAAAATGATAAGTTTAAGAAATACACCGACCTTCGGATTGAAGTTGCCAGAATGTAAGGCGTTCAAGTCACTACTGTCCCAATTATCAAAGTCCTACATTAAGAAAATCAGGATAACGCCTAGTATCCCATCGCTTAAGAAGTCTGCGTTGCTTGGCACTGCAAATATTCTGCGAAATGTACTATTTGTTTGAGATCGTATAACCTGATGGCGAAAATACCCGTAATGCAAGATCTTCGACATAAAACCAAAAACCGTGAGAAAGAAAAAAAGACAAACTTTAGAGCAGACTTCCCTCTGGAGAAAGAAAAAAAAAGATTTCCGACTTGATAGATGTCAATTTGAGACGAGAATTAAAAGCAAAGAAGATAACTAAAATGATTTAAAGTATGAAATTTTGATGTTTTGGGAAGGACTAAGTACTCACAGTACCAGTAATTATTGGAGAACTGAGATGTACAAAAATAATGAAAACAAATGCTTGCAGATATTAGATTTTGATTTGGAAATGCAACCATTGCATAAGCTTGCCTGCTCAAAACAGTAAAGATACTTCGAAAATCTGTTGACGAAAGAAGAAATGATTGGCATATCTTCTTATTCTGAAAATAAACTTCTTACGAAGAACCGATATTATATACTGTGCTGAAGCGAAATAATTATTTTATTGTGAGTACGCAGGTGGCAGCACCGCTTCGAACGGCTCATGTCCTGAGGAAAGTATTATATCTCTAAGCTGTAGATAAGAGCTGCAACAGGACTATTATCACCAGACCGAAATGTAGTTTTTGTCGTTGTTGTAGTAGTACTAGTAGAACTGTTATTGTTATTTTTATTGTTATTTTTTTAAAATTATTGTTGTATTATTATTATGATTCCGACTTTTCTTATTGTTGCTGAGAGTGATTGAAGCGGGGAATATTTGCGATAACATGCAGCTAATTAATTGTGGGATCTGTTCGATTATTGTTGGCGGTTGGTTGGAAGATGTGTGTATGTAAAGTGATTTGTCGTTGGGTTTTCTATATTGATATATACCTTTTTTTAGGTTCAGTGTAACATCTAAGAAATCTACTTTTAGTTTTGTTATGCCGACCTTTAATCCCATATTTGCATGATTATTTGTGGGTTTTATCTGTTTTTTTTTTTCTATTACAATTTCTTAGGATTATGAGACCGTCGTCCATGTAGAGACCTATGTAGTTTTTACCGATTATTTTTCTTAGTCCATGTAATAAATATATACCTTTAACCCCGAATAATGTACCATCAAAACTTCCCATTATAGCATCAAATGTTTCTTTTTCTTTAACCATTCTTTCAAGTATTATTTTACTAATTTTGCCTAGTTAACTTTTAGTGGATTTGTGTGTCTATATGTTGAGTTTGTTTTCTATGTGGTCTTTTAGTGTAATGAATGCTTGTGATTTAGCGATGCAATTTATTCGGTCGTCTTGGTTTAATGTTTGGACAATTTTTTAGTTTCCATATTAATATCGTATTCTGTAGTTTTAGTTATGTGTCCTTGAGTAGTTTGTGGTGTTTTTTAAGGTGGTGCCAGTGGGAGGGACTGTTTTCATATAAATTCCTAGTGTTAATCGCTGCGATAAATACGTTATGTGAATAGTTTATTCTGATTATGTAATCTTTTAGTTTTTGGTTTACGGAATGCATTTAATTGTTTAGGAAATTTTATTTAGTTAAGTCATTTTTGAAGTTGCAGGGGGGACATTTTTAAACCGTATTTTTCCTTTGGCAGTTGTGTTAAATTCTTGGCCTAAGAGAAAATGCGTTTGTCATCTCATTTTTTATGGGCTTTCTATTTTTTGTATTAACTTCAGTTTGTAGGTGGATGGTGATGTGATGGGTATGTTCTTTAGGAAGTAGTGGAGGTCAAATTTCGCAATGTCCATGAGAGGGTTATAAATATAGCGAAAGTGCTGTTTATCAGGAGCTAAATATAAAAAATATATTTTTAAGCTATGCTATGTTTATTGGTAAAAATGCTCAATATTAGACAGAGTGTGTAAGTATAACGTTGGACACTGAGGTCAATACTGAGCGACAACAGTCTGTTTCATGCTTGAATGCACTTTTCAGGACATGTGAGTTGTGTTCTGGGGCGACTATTTATATGTACAGGTTAATGGTGCATTATGGCTAGTAAGGTTTATTGTATATTCCTAACGTTTATTGGGTAGGTGGTAGCGGTTAGGTTTCAAATTATTTTAGAGGTTATTGAATAAAAATAATTGTGGATACGAATAAAGCAAGCCTGGAATATTAAAAAGAAGCAAAGTAAGCAAAAAGCACTAAGAAACCTACTTTAACTGTTCACAATAGTCCAGAGCAGAAAAACCAAACATTTTAGGTAATTCAGAAAAGAGCGTTATCTCAGTTCAACACTGAAAAGACACTAGACTTTGACGTGACATACTTTCGCCTGTGAAACGAATCGTTGAGCTAACGTCTTTGTGTCTTGGATTATATATGATATGGATGCATTAATGCACAAATTTATATAAGAGATTAATAGTGGGTAAACAAAAGACAAAGCGTGTTTTCTTTTTCTCGCTAACTTCAGCCTATGTTAGTATATGGACGATTATTTAGCCTAATCCAATCGTCCCTAATAAATCGTATATGAAGGTTGTATTGAACGGACATGATTTTAGATAAATTTATATTACTGCAGGTATTCCCCAGAGCTCTAACCTTTGACCTACATTGTTTTATGAGATTCATCAATGACGTTCTCGGTGTTATCAGTTTCCAACTAGGTATTTATACAGATTACGCAACTATTTACTCCTGCCTTAGTAGGACGACCGTCAGATTCGTCAAAGTAAAACTGGCAACTGCTCTCAAAAATTGGCTTTGATTAATGGATGGATTTGTTTTTTACAGCTTATTAACCTTTCTAGGTTATTTAAAGCCGAAACAGGTTTTTGGATTGTAAGAATAATTCTTTTCTTTTTGCGACTGAATATACAATTTTTTGGAGATAATGATTTTCAGACACATATCTTAATATTTAAACCAAAGCCGGGAGGAAGAGATGGATTCATACCTTTTTCAAAAGTATTACTATATATATATATATATATATATAGTAAACATTCGTTACATATTTACATAGTTCGGATTATTATCTTTACTGTCACATTCACGACCCATAGTAGCATTCTTCAGGTGAAATTTGATATTTGTTTTCGGTCCTTGTACGATTTATTGGAACAAATATCACCTGAAGGCCGGCACTTACAACGGCAGAAACTTCGTGAATATGTCAGTAAAGATAAGGACAAGATTTCGAACAATGTAAATAGGTAAAATAGTTCATCACAGTTACATATTAACGATTGGTGTACAGTGGAAACACAGAAAATTTAACTTTACGTGAATTTATAGACGGTTATTAGTTTTTCACTAGTATTTATTTTATCTTAATTCCAGTTGCTTTTCATTTCACCTACACTGTCATATTACGGCCAGCAACAAATAGCGCGAACAGTTAATAAATAATTAGCTTTCGGCGAAACTCGAACACTCGTCCCTTTTATCCTTGGAAGGTTGTCTATGGGCGACAGCTGCCCAACTGTTTGAGCCAACGGTGCAGAAGATTAAATCTTGCCACACAGACTTATTTGTTAGTCTCTGTGATATTTCGCTATCCTCTAGTTTCTGTTTGTGCATATAACATTGGCCGGAATTATAAAATCATTTGCAGAATTCTCATTGGTTTATGGTTCTGTAGTTGGATTGGTTAGGCTAATACTAATTAGCATAACCATACCACTATATATTAGGCAGAACGCTAGATAGAGAAGTTAGTTCACGACTACTACTACTATAATTGTGCGTTTACGAACTTCATGACAGGTTCCTATCTTGTCATGTATATTTTGTTCACATCTTTTGAATCTTCACTTACATGACGGAGGCTCCATCTGTATCTGCATAAGCGATGTTTACTATTCTCATCAGTGGTGACGTGTCCATGTATTCAATATATTCATTGCATTCTTTGAAATATTTCCAGAATAAATAATTTTATGGAATAAAAAGTTAATTATTTGTAATTTTTACTATCCTCCTTTCACTCAAGATTTTTTATTTTTATTTTTACAAAATGCCTCATTCCGTCCTTTGTTTGGATAAATAGTGAACAAGCGATATTAGCAGAGTAATGTTAACTGAGAAGACGTATGCTTCCGTAGAAAACTCTCGCGGTAGGTTTATGGGGAGAACATGGAAAAGTGAGTGAAAGAAGGCTTAATGAGTGAGAAAAGAAGCAAAGAGAAATGAAGAGGAGGAGAGAAAGAGAAGTGAAGAGGAAGAGAGAAAGTGAAGAGAAGAAGAGAAAGAGAAGAGGAGGAGAGAAAGAGAGGAGGAGGAGAGAAAGAGAAGAGAAAGAGAAGAGAAAGAGGAGAAAAATAGGAGGTGAGAAAGAAAAAGATAAAGAGGAGGAGAGAAGAGAAAGAGAAAAAGAGAAAGAAAAGAGAAATAAGAGAAAGAAAGAAAAGTGAGAAAAGAGAAGAGTAAAGAGGAAAGAAGAGAAGAAAAAGAAATAAGAAAAGGAAAATAAACAGTGGAATAACCTGCTTCTTCCTTTTGAAGAAGACGAAAATAGAGAATTGTGTTGATACTTTTCAAAGAGTGACCGATAAATTTGCCAAAAAGAAACTAAAATTTGAATTCATTTCCAAATCAATAAGTTTGAAATATGTCCTTATTTGTTTCAAAATTACCTATCGCCATTGATTCTCTTGCGTCTTCTCTACCTTAGTGTTAATATAGTTTAATAATGGCGGTTACTGCTATTTACATATACAGCAAAACAACGTAAGAAAAACGAAAATCGTATTTACATAAACAACGCCCATTGCAAAGGACTCAAGTGGATAGACGAATGATTTGGAATCTTTTCTTCTCCAAGAATTAACAAATTAGGCATTTGTGAAACTGAAATTCAATTCCTATTTGATTTCATATTTAAGAGACAAAAACGCCCTGCAGGAGTTGAAGAGCAAAGTGATTCCAAATGCTCTTTTGTCACATTATTATCTTCTAATCACTCTGCAAACAATAAATATTTGGGGGGAGACTCGGTTGCTACTTCTACTGACAACACGTTTAATCGTTATATTAAGCGCGCGAAAACGACACAAACGAGAGAAAGGAGGAGAACAGCGAGAGGAGGAGGCAACAGATTGGACGCAACGTCTGTTCACTATTGTCCTATTTATTCATCTTTCTCTTTTCTAACTTCTGTTCCTCTACCTTCACCTCCTACCCTATTCACCTTGATTTGCACCCCTCTTTCTTGGCTTCCTCCCTTTTTAGATTCTATTTTTCTTTTGTTGTCATTGTAGTTCTCTCTCTCTCTCTCTCTCTCTCTCTCTCTCTCTCTCTCTTTTTTTTTTTTTTTTTTTTTTACTTTGTCGCGTATGGGTTTTGGGGTGTTCTTATATGTTTAAACACTACACCAAAACATGGAAACACCGGTAATATATTAAAGTCTAAGGTAAGATCGGCACTTGCCAAGATAAACAGGAACAAGCAAGCATGAGCAGATGAGATTTTAATACAGATGCTATCAACCTCAGACGATTTGGGGGTTGACAAGTTTACGGAAATAATAAATGACAGTTGCGACATACCAGGAGACTTGGGGTTGATCCATCTTCCTAGCGCAGGTGAACATAAATACGAGGTCCATTGGACAATCAGCTTACCGAGCCACAGAATCTATCATCAGAATTCAAATGAATAGATTCAGTCAGTCAGCAAAGTGCCATAGGTGATACACGATTGGGCGATCATGTATCTTTCGATACATGACTGACGAGGTAGATTTTTTTACCGCATTAGGTTGTCATCTCTTTCTGCAGTAGACCAGCTGCCAACCAAGGCTAAAGAACCCAGTTTGTCATGCTATTCAACCCATAACTGATCTTATGATCGTATCAGGCAAACCTGGCTCATTAGCAACAGTACGCGAGATATGAACTGTCTTTACGACTGAGCCTTTCCTCACCCAGAGGTAGAAATATGGTGGTAATGACATGAAGAAAATGAGAAGTAGTATAGGAAGAAGAGGTAAAAAAAAGAAGAGGTAGAAATAAAGAAAAGGTAGAAAAAAAGAAGAGGTAGAAAAAGAGGTAGAAAAAAAAGAAGTAGAAAAAAGGAAGAGGTAAAAAAGAAGAGGTAGAAGAAGAAGAGTAGAAAAAAGAAGAGGTAGAAAAAGAAGAAGAGGTAGAAAAAGAAGTAGAAAAAAGTAGTAGAAAAAAAGAGATAGAAAAAGAAGAGGTAGAAACAGGAGAAGAAGAGGTAGAAAAAGAAGAAGAGGTACAAGAACCCTGTTCTAGTCGTGACGATAATAGTAGAGACGATAACCACTGACTCGGAAGACACTGTCAGGAGCAGCACAAGCAATCATAGTGGGGAGGGGATATGTTGGCGATTAGCGCTGCAGCAAATACACCGACATTGAATGAAGTTATCTGGCTCGTGCCTCGCGGTCTTTATGTCCATCTGCCGTGTGCCTCTCTTTCCTTGCACGCCTAAATACTGTATCCACACCCTGGGGCCTTGCGGACCCAAATCGGAAGTCAATGTATGCCTAATGGTGCGAACCGAAATCTATTATCTGCAACAACGTTGCACAATCAAGTAGTCACGACCCGACGACATTCGCTGCTTTTGCAGGGTACGGACAAATAATAAGGGTCTAGTGGCAAACGTGAAGCTGGATGCATGCAAACATAGGTACATTTGTATGTATGTATATATAAATAAACAAATAAATATACATACATGCACGTACGAAGTCTGCTGAAAAATTCTGAGCCCCACGCATATCCTCAAATCAAAATTTTAATGACAAAACACCAGAATGTGTTGTTTTTTTTTTCCTAGTATGTGTTAAAAGAATCTTGAAAAGTGGTGTGACTTGTCTGTTGAACTTCGTGAATATATACAATATGCATTCTATTTAAAGGGTTAAAGTCATTCTTGCTCGTCGAGCCGAGAACTTTCAAATACTCACTCGTATGAATAAGAGCACGTGTGTATTTATATATAAATATATATATATATATAATATATATATATGTGTGTGTGTGTGTGTGTGTGTGTGTGTGTGTGTGTGTGTGTGTGTGTGTGTGTGTGTGTGTGTGTGTGTGTGTGTGTGTGTGCGCACACACACAGACTATGATATATAAATTTCTATATAACATAACAATGTTAGGCAATTGAATGGCAAAATGTAAAAACCCAGTGTAAGCCGTTATGTCTTTACAGCTACAACGAGTAATGGCAATATAAATAATTATGACCGAATATGATATAGTAATTTCTATAAATCAGAACAATATTAGGCAAATGAATGACAAAGTGGAAAAATTCTGTGTAACGCGTTTCGGCCTCGAAACGAACTTCATCAAACTACGGCGACATCAATGTAAATAATTATGGGAGAATATGATATAGAAATTTCTATAAATCAGAACAATATTAGGCAAATGAATGACAAAGTGGAAAAATTCTGTGTAACACATTTCGGCTATAAACAGACTTCATCGGACTAAACTGATGCTGTTATTGATGGAATTACATATGTGTAGGGAGACGGGTAGATAAAAATATATAACCGACCATTTTATAAACGACGTTTATATCTCCCCTTTCCCTACACTTATATAATTTCATCAATAAAAACACTTTAGTTAGATAATTTTCCACTTTGCCATTCAAGTGCCTTATATATATATATATATATATATATATATATATATATATATATATATATATATATATATATATATATACCGTATAAAAACACAGGTCGGGTTTATGGGTGTTAAGGTAAAACAACGTGGCTGAGCAAGAGTTTGCATAGCGAACATTTATCCTCCGAAACAGCTATTACAAATATTTAAAATGTGTATAAAATATTTCATTATGTTCTTTTCCTTGGGTCAAGCTATGCGAAACCGTTCTACACATGGCGTCAGGATGCACCTGGTCAAGGTGAGATAATAAAGTTTTGTAGCTCTGCAATGTGGGTGCTTGAGAAGAATATATGCGCTTCAGTTTGGAACTGAACGACTGCTAATAATATTTACTCCATTATACGTCTACATTTGTAAGTGAATATACTTGTGATTAACAATCTACGGCATATGTGAATAGGTGGGTGTTTTATAAGTTGGGCGTTTACTCTGTAGTTATTTATTAAACTGAGTCTGCTCTAAATACTGAATACTTAGGATTCACGACATGGCAGCAATTTTCTTCCAGACAAGGTCACTAACCACTAACCAATTAGAGCAGGTTGATTTTTCACCTTTTTTAGAAAATCAACATTGCGTCCGATGTAAAATCTGGGATTTAATATGATAAGTTCTGAAACCAAAAGTTGGATTCATGGCTTTTACCAATGTTTGAGCATTTGGTTTTAAAGACTGTCTGAAAAATGTACAGAAATAACTAATTTCTGCAGGTTTTTTATTACAAACTGACTTCAAAATTTTACTCTTTCAAGAATAAATCCAAATAAAGTTGATATCTTTTGAATAGCATTGAATAGAAATATATTCAAACCAGAATTCTAATTATGAATCACCACAAGTAAAATATGAAATTTGTTTTACTGTATTCGATAAGTAAAAAATGTGTAAAAAAAATACTGTAAAAGATTTCAAAAATGGCTACTCAATAAATAAGATTTGTTATATCATTTGTTAAATAATAATTAATAAACAAAATACATATACAGGTGTATATAATACCTGAGCTGTTAACAACTACTGCTGAGCACAAATTATAAGACAATGTTTTTTAAAATTCGCATTGTTTATTGAAAATCACGCTAAAACTACTGCACTATATAACATGTTACATCATAATATAAACTAAATTGCTCAGTATAATTTCCCTTTGAAGTAAATGAAGGTCTTATGGTGCAATGATTTAGTAATTTGGTAGTTTCAGCAAATTATAAATAAGAATATAATATATGGCTTTCATTAATCACCAGAATAAAATTCCAGCGCCACGATTTTGAACCTAAAGTTAATCTTTAAACTCAGTCAGTTATGTGCCATGCGTGATACACGCTTTCGATACATGACTGGTGAGGCTGAATTTTTCCCGCACTAGGTTGCCATTTCTGTCTGCAGTAGACCAGTTGCCATCCAAGGCTATAGAACCCGATCTGTCCTGCTATTTTACCCATAGCGAGGGGGAGAAGAAGATGATTCATACCTTCCTCAAAGGTATTAGCACGCAATGAATGACTGGATTTCGAACTCGGATCTCCGATTTCTCAATCAGAGCTGCTATCCATTACTCCACCGTGCCTCTTTATGCTAGTTTCTTAAATATAATAATAAAAAAAAATGTTAACGATTAGGGAAAAAATTGTGTCTTTATCAGGTGAAACCCCAGCTTTTAAATTGAGCGCAATACAACGATTCCAAAACTGACCTGCCCTACTGACCCGTGACGATGCCAACAATTATTTATTAAACCAATTTAGTTTTGGCGCAAGGACGAAATATATAGAGTAACCAGTGAAAAACAAATTCACTATGAACTGATGGTGACGGTGAAGGTGGGAATAGCCGTTTCCTTATAAGGAAATATTCACCTTTCATTGACTGAACAGTTGACGTTACTGTCTGTTGAAATTTATAAAAAAAATTCTCTTTTTTTTTTCGGGAAATAGGTTTCTCAAGTCCACTGTTTTGTTTTGTTATTACTTTAGTTAATACAAAACAAGATCCAAGGACATAGTGCAACTCAAGGTAGATTGCTACGGAGTAAATTTTCCTGTAAGGAAAAGGTAGGGTACATATTATGAGGATATGTCGAATTGATATCGATTGATCTTAGACTTGAAAACTTTAAAATTATAGTGGTCGGAGAAACATCCTTTCGAGAGTTAGTTTTATGTAGCGACATATCAACCTCTATGGGTTAGTTAATGACGAAATCTAAAAAATCTGAACACAATTTTATGGCTTCAAATAATATATTTCGAAAATGTACCGTCCTGGATATGACGATAAACTACGTCCAACAGCAAGGCCTCTGATCAGGAGGTTTTGAGGAGCGTAGAACCACCTTCTTAATTGCTGGTGTTCCCAGGTCCACGCTAACTTGGGGTGGTAGCACATATTTGGGTCCCAGATATGGGCAAATAGTCAACCTCTAAACTAGGATCAAAACACTATGAAAGTGTAAAAATAGATTTTAATACAAGAAATACTTTGTTAAAAAAATTATTACTAGCAATACATTTTTGAAAATATATTACCAGCAATACATTGAAAAAAAAATTACCAGCAATACATTTTTGAAAAAAAATATTACCAGCAATACATTTTTGAAAAAAATATTAACAGCTATACATTTTAGAAAAAAATATTACCAGCTATACATTTTTGAAAAAAAAATATTACCAGCAATACATTTTTGAAAAAAATATTACCAGCAATATATTTTTTGAAAAGCAAATATTACCAGCGAAGGAAAATTATTACCAGAAATAGATTTTTGGAAAAAAATATTACCAACCATGAAAATTTTGTCGGCATTAAATAACCCATTGAGGTTGATATGTCGTAAAATAAACCAAACCTTGATAGGGTTTTGCTGGCTATTTTGCGTTAAAATGCATTGTTGTACATTTTACTATAAATATGTATTATTAGCCTTTTTTACATGAAAATGTATTGCTGGTATTTTTGCTACAAAAATATATTTTTATACTTTCATAGTTTACTTGTTCCTATAGCTGAAACCCTAACGGGAGACACTACCCCGGGATCAGGGTGGGCCTGGGAACAACAGCAATTAGGAAGTGATGGTTTCACGCTCCTCAAAATCTCCAGATCAGCGGCCATGCTGCAGGGTGTAGTTTATCGTCATACCCAGGACTTCCTTCCGAGAAAGTATTCCACACAGCAACAGTTCTGGAGAAAAAATAGTCTGAGTGGAATTTACCCCATACCAAAGGACTACGAAGGGTATGTGGATGATTTAACGCCGTGCATGGCGGATCCTAACCGTGAAACAAAGAATGTAGCTTGTTTGAACATTTCCCATAGCAATAGAATAGTCAGAGGCTAGTAATCTTTCGTCTGTGGGATAGGGGCTGTCCCTTTCTGATACTGGTGATGGTTTATTTTTAATTTTTGTTCGAAGCAGTGTGGAAATACAGAATCTTGATTATGTAATTTTCTTTTCAGTTACAAGTACTTTCATTTAGCTACGATTTTATACGGCTCCAGGCATTGTGTGTGTGTGTGTGTGTGTGTGTGTGTGTGTGTGTGTGTGTGTGTGTGTGTGTGTGTTCAT